AATTCCCTTTACAATCTTAAACACCTCAATCAAATCCCCTCTAACTTTTCTTTTTCAAGAGAAACAAATTTGAGAGATTTCAACCTCTCCTCGTATGACAACCCTTTCATCCTAGGCACCATTCTAGCAGCTCTCCTCTGAACCATTTCCAACAATTCAATGTCCTTCCTAAGGTAAGAAGCCCAAGATTGAACACAATACTCCAAATGTGGCCTAACTAGTGACCTATACAATGTAATCACAACCTCTTTAGACTACAACCTAAAATCCTATTTGTCTTACCACTAGCAACAGCATACTGCTTGAATGGCTTTAGAGACTGATCAACTATTACACCAAGATCCTTTTCTTTCATGACACTGTTAAGGTTATTCCCATCAAAATTATACTTATAATTCAAATTATGATAACCCACAAGCATTATCTTGCATTTATTATAATTATAACCCATCTGCCATTTATTTGCCCAACTCACTAAATGATCTAAATCCTTTTGCAAATCAGCAGCATCCTCTTCACAGCTGGCAACACCCAAGACCTTAATATAATCAGCAAAGTTAAGTAGATTATTGACCATTCTTTCATCTACACCATTGATGTAAATCAAAAAGGGCAAAGGTCCTAAGACTGAGTCCTGAGATTCCCCACTTGTAACATTAATCCAGTTTGACTGAACTCCATTTGTAACAACCCTCTGCTTTCTTCTCTCCAACTTTCTAACTTATATCCCATTAGAGATAATAGTTTTTAGAAGCCTCATATGTATCAACCTGTCAAATGCTTTCTGAAAATCCAGATACACCAAAATCTACACCCTCATCTACGTAAGCAGCAACTTTTCCAAATCAGGGTCTTCCAGTAGTGTATATATATAGTTTGTACACTCAACAACCATCCTGCATTAAACAGCATGTATCATAAAAATGAGGTTACACCACGTCACAACTTTCACTGCAGTGAACAACAAATCTTCTAGTGCCAACCTTGTATAAAGCTCATCATTTATTTAAGTTTTAGGCTTAATGGTTTTTCTTTAAATCTATTTTCATAATACTTGTTTTCCCTAAGGTTACAAGATGTCTTTACATCTGTTTTGCAGTCTTGTGTATAAAATGTATCTTTGTTTTCTAGTATTGTGTGACAAGCTGTATCTTCAACTGTTCTGTAGTTATTTGTGACAAGCTGTATCTTTGTTTTATAGTACTGTGTGACAAGCTGTATCTTTGTTTTATAGTATTGTGTGACAAGCTGTATCTTTGTTTTATAGTATTGTGTGACAAGCTGTATCTTAAACTTTTCTGTAGTTATTTTGTGAAAAACTGTATCTTAAACTGTTCTGTAGTTATTTGTGACAAGCTGTATCTTTGTTTTATAGTATTGTGTGACAAGCTGTATCTTCAACTGTTCTGTAGTTATTTGTGACAAGCTGTATCTTTGTTTTATAGTTGTGTGTGACAAGCTGTATCTTAAATTGTTCTGTAGTTATTTGGTGACAAGCTGTATCTTTGTTTTATAGTATTGTGTGACAAGCTGTATCTTCAACTGTTCTGTAGTTATTTGTGACAAGCTGTATCTTTGTTTTATAGTATTGTGTGACAAGCTGTATCTTTGTTTTATAGTATTGTGTGACAAACAGTATCTTCAAATGTTCTGTAGTCATGTGTAACAACTGGTATCTTCAACTGTTCTGTAGTTATTTGTGACAAGCTGTATCTTCAACTGTTCTGTAGTTATTTGTGACAAACTGTATCTTCAACTGTTCTGTAGTCATGTGTAACAACTGGTATCTTCAACTGTTCTATAATTATTTGTGACAAACTGTATCTTCAACTGTTCTGTAGTCATGTGTAACAACTGGTATCTTCAACTGTTCCGTAGTTATTTGTGACAAACTGTATCTTCAACTGTTCTGTAGTCATGTGTAACAACTGGTATCTTCAACTGTTCTGTAGTTATTTGTGACAAACTGTATCTTCAACTGTTCTGTAGTCATGTGTAACAACTGGTATCTTCAACTGTTCTGTAGTCATATGTAACAACTGGTATCTTCAACTTTTTTGTATTCATGTGTAAATATTGTGATACAGGTTGTAGGTTTCAATAAGATATGTGGGTGCATGTACCCTAGCTTAAGATTACATGAAAAGTTTTAGAGAAAAGTAAATACTGTTTAGAACCTAAGTTTGTTTTAATGTAGGTATAGTCAGATTATCAGAAGTAAGAAATCAAACCACCTGTAATTACTTATAACCTCCATTTCTTACCTTTAATTCTTAAAGTTGTTCACAATACAACTTGTTTGAGGAGATTGAAGTATTTTAGAATTTTAACAAACATATGACAATATTTTTCTTTTCTTGTGTGTACCATTGAGTGCTTTGATGCAATGAGGCTAAATGGAATAGTGTCAGGTACTTAATCAAGCCAGCAAGGATATTATCATCGATAACAAGTTTAATATTTATATATAGCTTGGCTTGTACAGGTAAATTTTTTTCCTTTCCAGAGAAAAAATGCACAGGACAGTACTTTATTTTAATGGAGAGTTCATTCATTGTTTAGTGGTATTATAAATATTCCACTGAAATTTGTGTAGTGTTTAGAGTTACTGTTATGATAACTTGAATTCTATAAAGAAACACACCATTTCCAAAAATATACAAGAACTTGTTATCAAATGTTAAATGATCTGTTTGTATGTGTATATAAAAACAAACGAAAAAAGGCCCTAAGGTCACTAAATTCCAAGCTAAGTAGGGTTATTTTTCATTACTGAATGAGTTATGATATAGCTCTAAATTACCGTATTTTTCGGAATATAAGACGCATCCTTATTTTGAAAACAAAGTTTTGGAGGAAAAAAACTACAGTCGCATTTGAAAGATTTTTATTGAACAAAAATTCAATTTGATACCTTAAAAATTAGTAATATTGTTCTAAGCA